CGTCAATCCATAGTTCTACATAACATAGGGCACCACACGAATGTGCGTGCGTACGTGCATGCATCATTGATTCATGGAGTGAGGTTGACTAGCTTAGGTAGAGACCTAAATCCTTTTCCCCTTCATTTTCCTAGGGGTAGATCGGTGATCGTATAGGTGCCCCGACCCACGGCGAGCTATAGCAGCATGGCTTTGTGAATGCTTAACTAGATAGAATCAAAATGGCAAAATATTACACCCTCCGTTCATAAACACAAGATGTTTTGGATATTCTAGTATGGACTACATACGGACTAAAATGAGTGAACAAACAAAATAAAACACGTCTATATACATCCGATTCACAAAAAAAGTTATAACATCTTATATTTGTGAACAAAGGGAGTATTTGATCAAACCACTATCAAGAAAAATAATCATCATTTGGTATATAAACATAGTCCACCTTGCAGTGTTTTCAGTTGCGAGTCATAGCACAATGCATGAACGCGAAAGTAACATGATAAGGAGCATAAATAAGACATGCAGAGCCGAATGAAATGTTTCCTAGGGTTTGCTAGAGAGGAGGTGACCAGGAGACGACTGGCTTGTCCTCTCTACACATCGGTGGCATCGCGGGTTCCCCTGGCACCTGTCTACCGTTGCGGTAGCGGGAGGATGGAGCAACCCCCGATTGAGCTTCCAGGTCAGTGTCTCGTAGGGTCTTGGAGTTTGTCTTCACCGGCGAAATTGGGGCAGCTGCAGCGATGCGAATAATGGTTTCTCGACTTTCTCTATATCGATGTTCTTCCTCGGAGTGATGTCAACGAGTTGCAGGATGGTGAAGATTATGGGACAGTTGGTCTAGCGAGATTAGTTTTTGTTCACGACAGCGACAACCTGCAAAGGGGATGACATTGCACTTGTTTTTGTTCTACAGTTCCATTTTTGTCCGATGAAGCTCGGCAAGATATGGCTCCGTTGGGGAACTTGTGAGGTTTTTGCCCCCCTTCTCTCTCTGGCTGGAGTTGGCATTATATTCTCACCCTCTTTGGTGTTGGTTTCTCCGTTATGGCGATTCTTTTAGTTTGGGATTGCCAGTGTCTTCTGATTTACACCGAGAACTTCCTGGCCATTCCTTCTACAAACTTCTGAGTTTCGACAAGGTTGCTCGGATGAGATGGAGACCCAGAGGTGGCAACGAGTATTTCTCATGCCGCGTCACGTGTCGCAAGTGGATGCAGAAGGAGGGAAATGCTCATATCTTCAAAGACTGCCCGTAATTATGTATTCTTCTTGTAAGGAAGTTCTTATAAGATTTGGTTTTATTTAATAGCCTTCGTCCTTTCTGAAAAAAAAACATGATAAGTAGTGATTGTCCTAGTTTCAGATGGCACAACGTATACCTCCTAGCTATATGATTTGCAGCAGTTTCGATCTCCATATATCCTCTAAATCCTGATTATTCCTGCCACGATTCTTTTCATCATAAGATAAGTGTAATTTAGGCAGATACCGACCGGCCGTGCTTGGAGGCAAGATCTCATTCTAATCAAATCTCATCTCAAGAATTAAGTAACCAAAAAGGAACACGTGCAATAATCACTGCACCGTATCCAAACCAAGGATCACAAAGGACAATTGATCTTCGAGAACCTAGAACAATATTTTCATATAAGATCGCAATCAGATTACTGCAGGATTAAGCATGACAAGACAAACTTGCGTGGATGCATGCATGCATGCATGCATATCGGTTCGAGCATCAAGAACCATCGGCCAACTACAGTTACTATATATTTATATTTTCCTTTAAAAAGAGGAGTTATTTTTTGTTTTTTTAGAGAAAATTTTCGATCTATTCATTTTCAATCATGACAGTACAACGAATACCAGAAATAATAAAAATTATATCCAGATCCATAGACCACCTAGCGACGACTACCAGCACTGAAGCGAGCCGAAGGCGCGCCGCCGTCATCGCCCCTCCATCGCCGGAGTCAGGCATAACTTGTTGTAGTAGACAGTTGGGAAATCGTCGTGCTAAGGCCCCGTAGGACCAGCGCACCAGAACAACAACCGCCGCAGATGAAGAATAACGTAGATCAGAAAGATCCAATCCGAAGACACGCAAACGTAGACGAACAACGACGAGATCCGAGCAAATCCACCAAAGATAGATCCGCCGGAGACACACCTTCACACGCCCACCAACGGTGCTAGACGCGCCGCCGGAACGGGGACTAGGCGCGGAGACCTTTATTCCATCTTCAGGGAGCCGCCGCCGTCTCGTCTTCCTGAGCAGGACACAAACCCTAGCAAAACTGAAAGAAACAACTAAAAACGGAGCCCTCCCGCCGGCCCTTGCCGAGATCCACCGCGCCCCCATGGCACTAGGGCCACCGGAGAGGAGGCGGACCTGCGGCGGCGGCGGCGGGAGGCAGAAACCCTAACTTTTTTGTGGAGGAAGGAGGAGGCGGCGGCTAGGGTATCAGGTGATTAGTTATTTTTTGTTTTTATAGTAGAATGATATGTTCTTGGTAGGTGGTGATTTGAACTTGATGCGGCTAGCTAGTGCGTGTGTGCGTGTATGTATATGCGGTATGCATGTGTGTGTGTGGGTGTGTACGTGTTCCTTTTGGAATTTCCCGGTGCATGCAAAGTAGGGTTGCAAAGCAATAATTAAAGGGAGCGGACAGCAAGTACTGCACCGTGCATGGTGGAGGAGATGATGGTCTCATCCCCACCATGCACCAGCTAGCCAGCCGCACATCCATGCCAAACAAGAAAAATACAAGGTTAGATCCTCCATAGGATGACTTGTCTCAGAGGGCATACATGCATGTATGCAAAGGCAAACTGGGACGGATTGTGTATTTCAAATATATGCATTTTTAAAAATTATTTAAAAAAAATAAAATTGTATATATAGTATTGTAGGTTCACAGTTTTAACATTGTGCATCCACGGTTTTCTTAAACATGATTGCTATTACGTTGATTTTTCTAGTTTAATCAGTCACGATTTTTCTTTCCTCTTTGTTCATTTATTTCCTTGTGTGTGCGCGCATGTGCGTGCGTGTGTTGTGTGTGTGTGCGTGCATGCTCACGCGTGCTCACCATCGTCGTGAGGTGCAATTTATCTAAGAAAAATGCATAGAACCACCACAAGCGTGTCATAACTAGTAGAAAATCACCATTTTACAAAACGTGGCAGAACGCACCAAATGCTATAGTTAACAGTGGCGAAATACACTGACCAAAATTTGAATCACGTTTTGACGTGGCAAATCGCCATCGAGACAAAGGTATACAAAACTTTGACTGACGGATGTTAAGATGGACAGTGGCAACTTAAAAGAAGAAACCCAAATGAATCCGTTTGTCTCCAGATCCCCAATCACCCCGGACCTTCATGACCATCGCCTCCTCCAGCCGCTCCATCTCCTCCCATGTCATCCCCTCCTCAGTTGCCACCAGCACCAAGCGCGAGACTGGCCGCTCCATGTCCTCCCCCGTCGTCCCATCCTCGCCCATCCCGACACCAAGCGTGAAATTTGGTCTCCCCGCTGACACCCTGCTCCTAGATGTCGAGGCAGAGGCGCCCAAGGCGTCCGGCCACGACGCCGAAACGCCCTGCCACTGGATGCCCTGGCGCCCAAGGCATCTTGCCGCGTTGGCGCCGCCACCCTACCCTTGGATGCCCAGGCCTAACCCGAGGTAGCCAGCCATGACGCGACCGCCGAGGCGTCGCCCAAGGCCAGCCACTTTGGTGACGTCGTCATGGTGGACACCGAGGCGCAACCCACGACAGGAGACAACATTTGTTAGTTGCCACAGGAAGGGGGTGGTCAAAACATCAAAGAGAGAAAGAAGAGGACTAATGAGCGGGACCCACATTTTTTAAACGTCCGCCAGTCAATGTTTTGTATCCCTTTGTCACATGAGCGATTTGCCACGTCAAAACGTGACTCGAAATTTTGATCAGTGTTTTTTTTTCAATGTCAATGATAACGTTCGGTCCATTCTGCCAACTTTTGTAAAGTGGTGGTTTTCTGCAAGTTGTGACCTGATTGTGGTGGTTATGTGGATTCTATTCAATTTATCTTCAATGTGGCGAGAGATGATTAATGTGGCTTTATTGTTTGAACGACCTTGAGTATGAGAAATGTATACACACAAGTTCTACACAAGAAGTGTGCAAATTATATTATTTCTCAAATTGCACTATAATATGGTTGTTTTTGCATATTCTAAAATGTGTAGTTTATGTACTTCCTCCGTCCCAAAATTCTTGTCTTAGATTTGTGTAAATACGGATGTATCATGTCACGTTTTAGTATTAGATACATCCGTATCTAGACAAATCTAAGACAAGAATTTTGGGACGGAGGGAGTACATTTTTTAACACAGTTTGTTTTATGTTTTTTTTATTTTCTTTCCTTTTAGGGCGATATTTTTTAATGCTTAAAACATTATATTTTCAAAGTACTCGATACAACTTTAGGCACTCAGCTGGTGCACAAAGTCCGCTCTAAGAAGTGCATGTGATGGCTATACATCTAGGTACACAAAACAACATCATCATGAGGCAAGTCTTTTGCCTCTGTTTCAAAAAAAAAAAAAAACAACATCATGAAACTACTACTACACTAGCATGGGTACATAGATATGGCATTGATCATATCTCTTGCACATGATACTCCCATCTTTTTACAAAATCTTGTATGAAATCATTGCCCGCCCTTCTCCCTAGCCATAGCTTGCACCTCTATATATCTGCCTACATATATGTACACCATCGATCTATCCATACCACATCAACCACTACCGCTGCACCTTCTCTTATATTCTGCCGACATATTAATTTTCTTCTCCACCCATAACACCATCTTTCTGCTCACCAACTCGCTCACTCAGCTCGCCGCTCTTCTTCTCATATCTGTTGCCTCCGTCTCATCAATCTCATTTGCTTCTAGCTACCATCTGTCTGCCTTCGTTGGTTCGTTTGCTCCACCGCCATGATGAATCTTATATCGTTTGAGACGCCTCCTCCTCTTGGTAGGCAAGAGAGCACCGCTGCTACTGCAGCCACCGGCATGAAGGTGGCAAAGGAAGCGAGCTCTAGTGACGCATGCTTCCACGGTAGCAATCTAGACCTAAGCCTCGGCATCTCCTTGTCTCCCGGAGGTAACTGCAGCGCCGCCAGCTGCGGTGGCGCCGCCATGGCAAGCTACAACGGTCGTCAAGGTGGGGGCAATGTCGGTCGAGTGCAGAGCAGTGACATGGTCATCGCTAGTACCGCCACTGCGAACACGCTTAGCGCAGGGCGTGGTGGTAATTGCCATGGCATTGTGCCTAGCAGCAGCTGGGCGGCGGTGTTCATGCCAAGCCCGACCGGCTTCATGCACCCCTGGAGCCTCGCCGCCCGGCAGCAGAAGGCGGCCGCGGAGCAGGACCGGAACATTGCGCCAGCGTCGGTGGCAACAACATATGTGACAAGGTGAGCCAAATGTTATGTGCTCATAGTTAATTGAGCAACACACATATATATGCATCTACATGCATATTACCTACTCAGTTTTAGCAGCCACTCCTCTCATGCATGTTTTTTCACCATCACGGCATCCAACGGCTCTAGCTAGCTAAAAGTTGTGTCAACTGTCAAAATATAGATTTCCTGTCGTTTAATGAGTTTATAATACTAAGTTGCTAATTAAAGCCCTGTTCGGATACTCTCCGCTCCGCCACAGCAGCTCCCGGAGTGGACGGAGCACCAACACAATTGCTAGGAGCGCCTCAGACCACGCTCCTCGTGTAGAGTGGAGTTAGCAGACGGGAGAGATTCCGAACACCCCCTAAATTTCAACACTTAACAATCATGAATTAAACAAACAAGTACTCCCTCTGTGAAGAAATATAAGAGCATTTAGATCACTATTTAGTGATCTAAACACTCTTATATTTCTTTACGGAAGGAGTAGTATATACGAGGGAAAAGTGCGGGATTAATTCACGTTCTCTACGTACGTAGGCACAAATGATTGCAATCATGAACATTTTGAACCCCTACCACTCCACTAGAGCTCATTGATTAGTTTTTTCAGGTCCTCGTGTGCTTAGAACTGCGTTTAGAAATGATTGCGGATAGATTCTTGTACGCATAGTATATGTGTGTGTGCACCAAACGGAGTCCTTCAAATCTAGGGTTTATAAAACAGGGAAAACCTGTATGTATAACATCTTGATGTACGTACGTGGGTTAATTCTCACAATGCTTTTGCCGGCCGGCCATGGTGGACGCGGCCGGATAGATACCGTTGGTGAGTAACGTACATAGAGAAGATCTCCTCTGCTCTGCAAGGAATTAAGCGAGAATATTCAGGGCAGGCCGGCCCAGGCAGGGGAGCAGCAATGATGGGTGCAGCATGGCTCTGCTTGATTGTGCATGCAGCGCAGTGCAGTCTTTTTCCCCATCCTCCCACGGAAAAGAGAGAAAGAAAGAAACAGAACTAGTAGTGCAGTCTTTTCCATAAAAACGACTTTCGTGTGTCCGTCCGTGGATGTGTTGCTCCCAATAATTGGGCGGCTGGACGTGCTAGACTGTTGCCATGTGGCCAGATGATACATATTGTTCCTTTTCTTAAAAATATATATAGAAATGGTCTGTGGCTTGAGGAGATCGATAGAGGCTTCATGGTGGGTCCAACACAGCAGAAGTTCTAAAAGAAAATTTAAATGGAGACAGACAAAAAAACATTTGGGGGTTTTAAAGAGAGAAAACTTTAGCTTTGGTTAGGCCACAAATGGCCTTTTCATAACAAAAGGGGCCAGACAGTTCAACTTTAAAATTATGGGTTACATAGTTACTTTATAATTTAGATGACAATTTTTGAGGTAAAGTAGCTGAGGTTACTTCTTGAAACTAATCGCATAGGCGTAGATAGAATTACGGTCACCCCATGAAATTCATGTCATCCCACTTATAATTTTAGCATCTTCACCTTTTGACTACTCATAGTGGGAGCAACATAGTTATTAACATGCATGCCACCAGTGGCGAATCTAGCACTAAATTGAAGGGTAGGCTCAGAACATCAAGTTTCTAAGTCTAATTAGCAAATGCATTGCAATTCACATGTTAAACACCTTGGTAAAATTGTCAGCTAGTATATTTAGTTGAAATAGGATATTTGGAGGGGAGGCTTCAGCCTATTGAAGCCCCCCTAGTGGAATCGCCACTGCATGCCACATAGGTAAAAAAGATTATGTGACAAATAAAAAGAGGAGAGAAACAAATAAAATAACATCCTCGTGCTCCTCTTTGGTCTTAATGTGTTGGCTCCCCGGACCAATAAATCTGGACGAAGTAATCAACAAACACGTTGATCTTAAATACTCAAGAAAATAATTAACCACGGGCAAGTAAATTGCACTGCATTCATGCATGTATTACAATCTACTTATACACTCTCAGCTCAGAGTTGCACACACTTTGCACCTGATCTGCACAATGTATTCATGGGCGCCTAATGTTTGCATTCAATTCTTTGTCATCATCAGCGATGCTAGTGTGGTCTCAGTGCCTTCGGCGGCTGTGGGCTGGCCGCCGGTGCACACCTCCCGGCGCCACCTCGTCACCGCCACGCATGTGCCAAAACCCGACGCCGGCGTGAAGCAGCCCGACGGCCCAAAGAACACGAAGATACCCACCGCGGCCTCGCCCGCCGATGATGATAAGGAGGTGGCGGGGACGCCGAGGAGCTATACGGTCACCGCAGAACCGCAGCGGCTGCAGGCAAACATGTTCGCCAAGGTGCACATGGATGGCTGCCTGATCGTCAGGAAGATCAACCTGAGAGCTCACCGCAGCTACGACTCCCTCTCGCGGGCGCTCACCAGGATGACAAGAAACTTCTTCTGCCGTGAGTACTGCTCTCCATTATTATTTTCCCCAACAACATACTGCTTTCAAATAGTATATCTAGGGCACATTCAAATGTATCCTGATTAATGTACATCTAAGTAACTCAATCAAACATAAAAAGGAAAAAAAAGAAAAAAAATATAAGCATGAATCTTCATCTAAAATGAAGGACATAAAGGATTTAGTTGTGCAATATTAAGGAACATCTAGGTGTGTTTTAGCAAAACCAAAATTATAATTAGTCACAGAAGCCTTCCTTCCCTCGATCTTGGCAGAGAGATCATGGATTCGCCTCCTGTCTGCTTGCCTCGTTAGAAGGAAATCCTAATGCCTCGACTCCGGTTAGTAGATAAGTAGTTTTTTTTTGTCCTAGCAGGAACGGGGCTCGAATGGATGGCGACACTTCCTAGAGTCAGTCTTCCTGGCTTTGATCCTCCTCAAGTTCGTCCATCGGGACGGATTAAACAGAGCTTCGATATATATATAGGGCCGGCCCTGTGTTTCAGGAGGCCCTAGGCGAACTCGATGATATGGCCCCTATGTCCTAAGAACATACTTATATATGTATGTGTGTGCGTGATACATAAACATCTTTAGTATGAGATTTGATGACTATAATAATTGTTGGATAGCCATATTATGACAAAAAGTACTAAAAATATACTAAAATGAAACTAACATGACATGATAACCTCAAAGAAGGACCAAATTCGGAGAACCCTTCAGTGTTCGAATTTTCGGATCACTTTCTTTTTTCTTTCTCCTATTTTCAGTAACCGACAAATGCTTTTTTAGGCAACATGGCATGGTAATGTTAGAAATTTATACATCGGATGATTGGAACCCTAGACAAGTACGCAGAATGACAAAAAAATAGGGTGGTTACGTACTGTGAAAGATTTTATTAGAAAATTATACACTGAAATTACTCCATGTACTAAAGAATAAAACAAAAAAACTACTAAAAATTGGGGTTTGGGGGGTGGATCAGGAACGTGGTGCGCTCACGGCTCACAAGCGTATAGTGTATTACCTCCTTGCTGGACATGCCAGATGGTTGAACTGATGTGCGGCGCGCGCAACCGCGACAACCACCGGTGGCCAAGGCGCCGAGCGACGGACAGACGATCGGGAAGAGGACGAACAAGGAAGACGAACTGACGAGCAACGAAGGCACAAGCTAATTAGCGAAACTACGACTCGATGAGATCTTGTCTGATTTGTTTCACACAAGCGAAAGGAGCGGCTGTGGCGCCGTGCCTTCGTCTCGTGTAATGACCGACCCTTCGCTAGTCGCTACTAGCTCTAACTAATGGGCCTTAATTTTTCTTGTCTACTTCATCATGGGCCCCCCTCCGGCCTGGGCCCTGGGCCCTGGGCCGTCGCCCCCCGGCCATACCTCCAGGGCCGGCCCTATATATATATATATATATATATATATATATATATATAGAGATATATAGCTTTGCTAAAGTGAGCCTGAGCGTATTACTTTTATTCTACGCACCGGTCAGGTACGCGCGTAACTCCCAAGAAATCAGCGCGGGTGGGTTTCGTCTAATCACAAGGAGAAATTGAACCACCGTAACAGACAAAAAAGGATTACTATTCGTGCCTTTGCTCTAGTAATTTGGTAACCGACTAGGGTATGCTGGACTGGACGTAAAAGAACTTCGACTCCATAGTAATGATGGTAACAAAAAACACTAATTAGTGTGATCCTAATCACATGTATCATGGACTAGTAAAATCTACTAGGAAATTACGACACATGACCATGTTTCTGCTATTGCTGTTAATTGTGGTAAAAACTACCTATACATTACTACATTCTCACTAGGAATTTACCATCCTCTGTAAGTACAACCATCTACACATGGTAATTGAGGTGGATTTTTTTAGATGGTAACTGAAGTGGATGTATTTACTCGTAATACGGTTACCACAGAGTAGCTACATGCAATTCACCCGCAAAAAACAAAACTACATGCAATTCGCTCATAACACCATTACTAGAAGTGGTCATCCTCTATATAAGCAAAAAGATGGTCTGGTTTGGTGGATCGATGAACTCCTGCATGCACATAGTAACTACTTTAATTCCATTACCATACCTACCAAAGGTTTTACTAACAAGTGGGAAAAAGTGACTTGATTTCGCGAAGCGGGGACTCGTTTGTGCACATGGTAACCGTTTTAATTCTATTACCATATTTATCACAAAGGTTTACGAAGAGGAGGAAAGAAAATTGCTGGTTTGGCTGCCCAGCGACCCACGCGATTTGGCCGGAGCGTAGAATTAGCATCTGCGCTCACGCTCA